ACAGGCTGACTGTAAGGTAGGGGTGTGGAGTGGGGAGCACACAGGCTCAAGTACAAGGTGGGGAAAGGGCAGGTGAACACACCTTTGATCTCAGCACTGAGGAAGGAAACTGAGGCAGAATCCTTGCTAAGTTCCAAGGGATTCCTTATGAGGAGAGAGATATATTTTAATTTTTAAATGATATTTATTCATTTACTAGCTTGTATGGGGAGGGGCATGCCCATGTCACGGTCCCCTTGTGGATGCCAGGTAGTAATTCGTGAGAGTTGGCTCTTTCTTTCCACCATGTTGGTCCCAAGGATCCTGGAGGAATTCCCAGCCTCAAGAAGCTGGGGAGGAGGATCCCGTCTGAGGACACTAAGCCGGTCATCCTTTATCCTTCTTTCCATAAATATTCAGTTCCCCCACTTTCCCTGACCTCCTTACACCCTTAAGTCTCTTAGTCACCTGTACAAATGCAGGTCCTGTTCAGTGCCAGTGAATTATTTTCCCACGTCAATAGTATGCTACGATCTGTTGTACTCATTTTACCCAGAGCCCCACTTGACTTCTGACACTCTCCAACGCCCAACCATTCTACAGGGCTACAGTTTTTCCAAAGACAAGTCCATTCCTGACACCTTGGAGATTTCAACCTTGAAATAACTTCTCAGGACTCTGAGATAAGCAGACAGCGGACACCCACATGAGCATACCACTCACGCCGCTCCAACTTTGCTTGTGGCCACTTTTGGTTAGGAATGCCAGAGTGTTGAGTTCATGGTGGAGATTCTTTTTACAGCATAACATTTTAAACAGCATCCCTTCAATCTCAACACTCTAAGAGACAGAGACAGGAAGATTCTCCTGAGTTCCAGGCTAGCCAAGATACTAAGTGGAACACTGTTTCAAAAACAAAACCAACTAACCAACAAGAAAGCATGCATTAAATTGGATAGGATGGGCCAACAAGATGGCTCAGGGGGTAAGGGTGTTTGCAGCCACACAATACACAGGATCACCTGAATTAAATACCCAAGACCTGGAACAGTACATATTTAGAAAATGGTGCTTGGTCCAGCTTGTTCTGAGGCAGCTGCCATGTTCCTGCAACTCCAGGTAGCTAGTAGCACTGACCCTGGTACCTATTAGATGCCAGCATGGCGGATGGCTCTGCCAATCGCCACACTGTCTCCACAAAGCTCCACTGAGCCTCAGAGAATACTCACCATCCTCAAGGTACCTGGTAGAATGAAGACTCTTAAAACTTAAAGATTAGCCAATAGATTTATATATTTGAAAATGCCCAATTAACAAGATGCCCATACAGTTAGAATTGTCACCCAATATCTAGCCTTTAGATATAAATTGTTACTCTGGACTGCTTTTGACCCATCCGTCTTCCTCCATGGTTGCTACTCTCTCTCCTCCTTTTCTCTTCCCGTTCCACTTTCCTTCTCCCAGCTCCACCTCCTCTTCTATTGCCCAATCACCGAGCTCCACTGTGAATACAAGGTAGCAGAATAAATACCCTGCTACAAAGACCCACCTAAAAGCTGTAAGGAGAAAGACAAGGAGGGAAACTATACCCTATAAAAAGCAAGAAAATAATCTTCTTTCAACAAATGTAAAAGAAAATAGCCACACAAACACAATTCTACTTCTTACAAAAAAAAAATAACAGGAAGCAACAATCACTATTTCTTAATATTTCTTGACATCAATGAACTCAATTCCCCAATAAAAACACATCGACTAACAGACAGGATATGTAAACAGGACTGAGCACTTTGCTGTATACAGGAAACACACCTCCGTGTCAAAGACAGACACTAACTCAGAGTAAAGGGCTAAGAAACAATTTTCCAAGCAAATGGTCCCAAGAAACAAGCTGGAGTAACGATTCTAATATCAAATAAAATCGACTTTCAACCAAAAGTTATCAAAGGACACATGGAAGGACACTTCATATTCATCAAAGGAAAAATCCACCAAGAAGAACTCTCAATTCTGAATATCTATGCTCCCAATGTAAGGGCACCCACATTCACAAAAGAAACTTTACTAAAGCTTTACTAAAGCTCAAACCACACATTGAATCACACAAAATAATAGGGGAGACTTCAACACCCCACTCTCATCAGTGGACAGGTTATGGAAACAGAAACTAAACAAAGACACAGTAAAACTAACAGAAGTGATGGACCTAATGGATTTAACAGATATAGAACATTATAGAACTATAGGACATTTCATCCTGAAACAAAGGAATATATCTTCTTCTCAGCACCGCATGGTGCCTTCTCCAAAACTGACAACATAATCGGTCAGAAAACAAGCCTCTACAGATACAAGAAGACTGAAGTAATCCCATGCATCCTATCAGATCACCACAGACTAAGGCTGGTCTTTAATAACAACAAAAGCAACAGAAATCCCACATATACATGGAAGTTGAGCAATGCTCTACTCAGTGAGAACTTGGTCAAGGAAGAAATAAAGAAAGAAATTAAAAACTTTTTAGAATTACTGAAAATGAAGGCGCAACATACCCAAACTTATGGGACACAATGAAAGCAGTGCAAAGAGGAAAACTCACACCTCTAAGTGCCTCAAAAAAGAAACTGGAGAGAATATACACTAGCAGCTTAACAGCACACCTGAAAGCTCTAGAACAAAAAGAAGCAAATATACCCAAGAGGAGTAAATGGCAGGAAATAATCAAATTCAGGGCTGAAATCAAGCAAGTATAAACAAAAAGACCTATACAAAAATATCAACAAAACCAGAGCTGGTTGTGTTGCATTTGACAAAATCTTTGAGAAAATCAACAAGATAGATAAACCTTTAGCCAGATTAACCAAAGGGCACAGACACAGTATCCAAATTAACAAAATCAGAAATGAAAAAGGAGATATAACAACAGAAACAGAAGAAATTCAAAAAAATCATCAGATGCTACTACAAAAGCGTATACTCAACAAAACTGGAAAATCTGGATGAAATGGAAAGTTTTCTCAACAGATACCAAACACCAAAGTTAAATCAGGATCAGATACACCATCTAACCAGTCTCATAGTCCCTTAAAAAAAGGAGTCATTAAAAGTCTCCCAGCCAAAAAAAGCCCAGGATCAGATGGGTTTAGTGCAGAATTCTATCAGACCTTCA